CTAAAACCAGCGCCTTAGACCGCTCGGCCACGCTGCCACCGAAAGGCTGAATTCTTAAATTGCTATATTAGAAATGATTGAAATTATAGAAGTTAATATTAAATTTTGTCAAAACAAAAACCAAAAATTAAGCTTCGACAATTAAACGATAAAATAAATTGTTTGTTAATAGATAAATTTCATTTTACGATTGATATATAACAATATAAATAAATTTATACAATTTTCTACTTTTGTTGGATATGTTTTTTTAAAATAAATATTTATATTATGTGTGTATGTGTGTTTTTTTTTTAAATGTAAAATACTAACTGCAATGTTCCTCGTCGCTGTTGTCACCGCAATCGTCCCTGTGATTACATCTTGCACTATGTTCTATACACTTTTGCGTTGTGTTACATCGAAATTCGTCAAGTTGACATGGTGCCTTAAAGTTACTATCACATTTTTCTTCGTCCTTTCCGTTACGACAATCCAGATATCCGTCGCAAACTTTTTCCTTCGGTATACAAAGTTCTGGATGAGTGCCGCCACATCTGAAGTCGTCCGGCAGACATTTTCTGTAATCTGTATGCGGGGGTTTTTGTTCAAACTTTTTTTTATATAATCATACTTTTGAAACAACTATATCGAATTTTTTTTTCTTTTTGTTGATTCTTTCAAGTCGTAAAAATATTCCTTAAACTTATTGTCAATTTACAACAACAATAACAACAACATTTTATATATATATATTTTCTTTTTTGAAAATGAAGACAATTTTTGCTTCCTAACCTAAAATCTAGGCCTTTTAAGTGGACATAAACAGCTGAATTTGATAAATTTAACTTCTCATCGATCTCACGTGTTGTTATTTGCCTATTGTATCAGATAAAACGAAATTACTTTCCAAACAACCCAATAACACAACAAATTTGCATGTACTAAGGGGTTAGTTAAAAAAAAAAAAGTTCAGAGTTAAAGTTGGATCTATGAAAATCATCTCTTAACGCATAGTTTTATCAATAAAATAATCAATATTTCAAATATTATTCGAAATAAATCAATAATTTCAACAATTGACAATAAAAGCTAAACTTACGAATACTTTTGCGACATACTGTACACGTGTAAACATATGTAAGGTTAGAAACAACAAAAAAATAATTAGTCAGACACCGATTATGTTCATTATAACATAATTAAGTAGTAGAGATGTAAAAAAAAAAGAAAAAAAAGGAAAAAAACAACTTTCAGTGTAAAAACCTTTTGCCCATAACGTCAAAGGCCAAGAAAATGGCCTTTTTAAATTAATTACGTCATCGAGAAAATAGGATACACTTGAGTTATCACGCGCAACCCCTTCAATTAGTTTTATTCATTGGAGTGCACTTGTACCAGTGCATAAAGACGAAACGAATCCCCTCTCTCTCTTTAGGACTCATTCACTGTAACTACCGGAAATTAACACACGCGCATACACCTAGAATAATATATTCACAAAGGACAATATTATATCGTGCGAGGAAACGAAGGCCATCGATGAAACCTTTAACGTACCTAGGATCATCTAATTATCTTCATTTGTTTCCATAATATTTATTTTCAAATTATTGAAATGTTTTTCAACAACCTGTGTGTTTCTTAATGAAATGTATCTTAAAACATTACGTGTATATATATATATGTGTGTGTATGTATATGAAATCACTAATACAAGTAGCCCCATGTATTTAACGACGTATTCATTATCATTCTAAGCCACATTTAATGCTTTCAATTACGGGCCCGGTTGATTTAGCAAAGCTACTGGTGGCACACACAGCTGGATCTTAAACTTCTCTTAATGAAAGTAGTGTGTCAAGTGATTTTACTAAATCTGTTTAAGTTACAAACATAAAACTTATTTTTGATAAATGATCCAAATGTTCTAGATAAAAGGACAAGATTGATTTATCTATAATTAATCTTATATATTTGTACTAGGGGTGTCCTGTCAGGGGTTTCCTCACTTTGTAATAGAACAGTTGAAATAAAAATATTTTATAAATAATAATAATAATAATAATAATAATTATAAATGTATAGGACATTTAATCGTTACAAATACTTAAGATCAAATATCATACTACTCTAATCATATTCCTTAGTGAATATTATACTATAGTATCTTATTTATCATTACACTCATATTTCATTGATAAAGAAATCCATTTGTATTTATAATTTAATACTCAAATTTGTTTATTACGAAATAATATCTTTTTTAAGATTGTTTATATATTATATAATTAATAATATATTAATATTTGTATATTAAGGAGATTGAAAAGTAATGATCTAACTACGTATGTCAAATTATTTCTAATATTTGAAATCAAAAAAGTGATTGATGATTTTTGTCATTACGATCATTAAAAATTTGGATTATCAAATAGAGAAGAAAAAAAGGTTAATTAATTAATTTAATTATTGATTAATAATAAAAACTTGTTGGGTAAGTTGATTTGTTTGAATTTTGAGGTTACAAAGCGCCCATTACTTTCCAAACCATTTAATATTATGTAATTAATATAATTTATTAAATTATTAATTAATTTCTAATTTGATATAATCAAAATATTAACCTTGAAATACAATTGTAACAAAATTCCTGTTAAAATTTACAAGTTTGAAAACTTTTATAAAATAAATAGATGTAAGATAATCAACCATCAACAGCCAACCCCTTTTCACATGCTTTATGATTCATTTAAAGATAATTTTGTTCATTTATAATTTGCATTTAAATAAGAAAAGTATCTGCGAAATGGAATAATTTAATAATAATAATAAAATAACATTTGTGATAATATCATTTCTATCAATCATCACGTTTCAAAATATGAGAAAAATAATAAAGATAAAATATTTTTCTAGATTTTCTTTTTCTTGAAATTAATTATTTGCATAAAAGATTGTTTCATCGTTTGAACGTATATATATATATATATATATATATATATATATACATCTTCATAGATATTATCACATAGAGAAACGAGTTATGTATATCGCATGCAGTGCACATTGAGGAAAAGGAAAGTCTGCGAATAAACTTAAGATGAGATATAAAAAGATAATATAAAAATAAAAATAAAAAATAAAAATAATAATAAAAGACAAGACATTCTCATCATATATCTCAAAAGAAGAGAGTTCAACTTGATAAACCTGTTTCTAAATTTATTTATCAAATACATTGAAGTACGTTACGATTTGTTACAATTTCTAACACATTTTCTATTAATTTCAAACTATTTGGATAATTTGGAAAATTATTAGTAACAAATACTTACGACAACCATCTTCATCGGAACCATCGACACAATCCACCGTAATGTCACATTTTTGATGCAACGGTATGCAATAAGTTTTGTTAAAAATATATTGGCCGCATGTGATTTGACCAACTTCACAATCGGGTGGTGCTATAAACAAAAACAAAAAAAATTATTATTATTATTAAATATAATAAAACAATATTGAAATTATATTAACACACGTTGACGCCGGTGCCGATTTTCAGTGTCTGCGCTGTGGGACGGCACTCAAATTTAAGATTCGCTTCATCTGGCGGCGCGTGATTTTTGCTTGTTCAAACCTGGACCAAGGTGGACCACCGGTGGTACGCGCCGCCCGATGGGACAATTTAGTGCGAGCCACCGGTGGTACGCGCCGTCCGATGGGACAGTCAAGCGCGGGCCACCGGTGATACAAGCCGCCTGATGAGACAGTCAAGCGCGGGCCACCGGTGGTACGCGCCGGCGTGAACGTGTTAAAGTTAATTAATACTAATAGAAAAATATTGCAACAGAATTTGATTAATTGAAATAAATTAGATAAAAAAAAATATGAAATAAATCAAAATGTTAAAGATCATTTTCTGATATTAAAAAAAAAAAAAAAAAAAAAAAAAAAATAGAAAAAAAATATTGCAGTTGAAAACATCGAAATTTATATTAAAATTAATTAATAATAATACAAAGATATTACAAGGAAAAACACACAATGGTGACACACGCGATGTGATCATTTATTCAATAAAATAATTATGTAACTTTACGTAAGAGAATAATATAAAAGAAATTAATGCGATATGTTTCATTGACAATGTAACAATAAAAATAATAATAATAATTATTATTATTATTATTATACGTCGATATATCAAGTATTAAAACGTAATAGTTTTCCTGTTGTTGATAAAAAATAATTTACGTTTTTCCATGTATGATTTGATCATTCTATGAATCAATCTTACATGCCGGAAATAAAATAATTCCTAATTCGAAAATTATACATTAAATATTTTTCCATTAGATATAAAAAATACAATCTTTATTTTATATTATTAATTATATTTAAACAAAGAATGTTGCGAAATAAAATAATAAAAGTAACAACAAGAGAATATAGAAAAATATTACATGATGCTGATACAAAGTTAGGGTTTCTAATAATATTTGGCGCTTTCTTTAAAATTTACCCTCAAGCTATTGTGGCGCCACCCTTATTAAATGACAGAGATGTTACTCCTAACCTCTACCTTTCATAATTTTAACATAAACCTTGTGCACAGTGCCATCTTTTTTAACAAACAACAGAAACTTATTTATTTGTACACCTAATAATTATTTAATTATAAAATTTATTCTAGAAATAAGATTTTTGATTTATAATCATCAGTTAACCTCAATTAAAATCGAACTGTAAAAATATGAATTCTTTGGAATAAGAAATAAGAAAAAAAAAAAGAAAAATGTCTTTGGTTTAGTGGTCAAATGAAAAAAAAAAAAAAAAAAACGTAAATCGTGGCAGTGGGTCCCCCATTTTGTCGAGTATCGTTTATTCGTTCGTTGATTGGTTGGTTCACTAGCGGAACTTTTGCACGTCTCGTACTTGAAAGAGGGTCATCAACGTCGTCTTTCTTTCTTTCTTTATTTATTTCTTTCTTTCTTTCTACCTACCAACCTACCTACCAATCTACCTTCCGGTTTAAAACATCGTCTCGCGCATAACAAAACGTTTGCTTTGAAGGTACAAACTGAATGTCTACTCAAATAGGAAATGAGAATCGTTTCGAATCGTCATAATGTTCATATTGGAAAATGGCGATGGGAATGAGGAAGAATTACGAAATGAAATCAAACAATCAAACGAACAATCCGTGCCCCCACTCCCACATCATTCCCCCACTTCTCAAACAAAAAAAGAAATAAATAAAATTGGGACTGATACGATTATTTGTTTAAAAAAAATAAATAAATAAATAAATTAGAATGGTTGGTGGTACTTACGACAGGATTGAAACTCGTCCTCGGCGTTCTCGCAATTACGTTCATAGTTGCAAACCAATAATGCAGGTATGCACTTTCCGTCGAGACATTTGAACATGTTAGGCCCACAACCGCTGCCATCGCCTGTTAACCGAAAAAATACAAAAATTATTTACATAACAATGTTCTATTGTAATATATATTGTAATATAATTATACAATACTATTACAATACTATTATAATTCTATTACAATAAATAGTACTGTAATAGTATTGTAATATAATAGTTATATAATATATATAAGATTAAATATTATAAATAATATAAATGTTAATAAATTATTAAAAATAATAATTGTTAAATATTATATATACATGTATATGTAATTGTAAGATAAGTATAGCATATAATTATTTTAGTGAGTCACTGTAAATTGAAGTATGGTGAACGAGCTGGTGTTGGTCAAGTAAGTGTGAGAGATAAAGAGATAGAAAGAGATAAAAAGAGATAAAAAGAATAGGAGTGAGAAAGAGAGAGAAAGAGAGAGAGAGAGAGAGAGAGAAGAAGTTGGTGGGGAATCAAGTCGAGAACGATGTTACTGGCGTGATAGGTGAAAGGTTCAATGCCTTCTGCCATGCCAGGGAAATGTCTGTTTCTAATGCCGCTCTAAGAGAACTCGACTGAAAGAACTCGAATGAGAAACTCGGACTAGGAGGATCTTCATAGAGCATCCTCCTCTCCTATCATCTTTTCTCGTGGGATACTCGCGGCTTCTTCTTTCAACGATAATAATGTTGGTAGTACTGGTACTAGGTAATGGTACTACTCTGTTGGTGGTGATGGTGGTTATTGGGACGCTGATGGTGGTAGTGATGGTAGTGGTGGTTGTGTTGCTCTTCAAAAACACTTTTCCTTACGCCACATGGATTCTTGGTAAAAGAGAAAGAGAGAGAGAGAGAGTACAGTGACTTGGATAATGTTACGTAATTATACTCCTTTCTTTTTCAAACCCAAGATTTGATCAAGGAGTTCAAATCAAATTTGTCAGACTTGGAAAAGTCTGTAAAATCTAACACTGTGAACCATCACCACCATCAATGTTTAAATTCAATATGTTTCCTTGTTTTCCTTTCATTTTGGGTTTTATTAAAGTATATGAAATATTGGGATCTTTGACAGGGGCTGGTGTAACAAATTGGTATAAAACTTTACAAATCGTAAGTGTGCGGAGTGGGGATGGAAGAAAAAGAGTGGGGCGAGAAGAAAAGGAGTGGGGGAGAGAAGTAAAAAAAAGAAAATGAAGCGCTGCTTGCTAATTATAATTTCTAGCTTCTTCTCGTTTAACACGTTTAAAGTATTTTTTTTTATTTATTTATTTATTTCTATCACAACCACATCCCACTTTTTTCATTTTTCTTCTTCTTTCTCGTTCTACTATTTCAAATAATTGAAATAGAATTGTTTTGTTTTGTATTTATTTTTTTTTTTTCCATGCAATCACAGACAGTATCATCATCATTCGTTTCTCTTCTGTACAACTGCTGTAAAGAAGAACTTTCTTCTCCCATTGACTGATTATCAAGGAAAATAAAATTGCTTACGATATTTCTTTTTTTCGCAAAAGTTGAACGACCGTGAGCAGAGAAAAACACACACAGGTAGGAAAGGAATAGCAAGAGTGGGGGTGGGTGAGAGTGAGGTGGAAGAACAAGAAGAAGAAGAAGAAGAAGAAGAAGAAGAAAAAGGATTTCTTCTTGTTCAATTTTAACTATGTTACTCAACGTGAATCCTATCTGATGTCAGGTCGTATGAAAGATTCTTCAAAGATATTTCGAAAAAAAAAAAAAAAAAACTAGGATATCAAAATTGGTCGACGAAAATTCAATTCAATTTCATCAGTCATTCATTGCGACATATTTAACTTCTCTTATTCAATTGTAAATATAAATCAAAGATAATTATAAATATCCTTTTAATTTTACATATCACGTTGACGCCGGCGCAGATTTTCAGTGTCTGCGCTGTGGGACGGTACTCAAATTTAAGATTCGCTTCATCTGGCGGCGCGTGTTTTTTGCTTGTTCAAACCTGGACCAAGGTGGACCACCGGTGGTACGCGCCGCCCGATGGGACAGTCTAGTGCTTTGACCAACTTCACAATCGGGTGGTGCTATAAACAAAAACAAAAAAAATTATTATTATTATTAAATATAATAAAACAATATTGAAATTATATTANGGCGCGTGTTTTTTGCTTGTTCAAACCTGGACCAAGGTGGACCACCGGTGGTACGCGCCGCCCGATGGGACAGTCTAGTGCGGGCCACCGGTGGTACACGCCGTCCGATGAGACAGTCTAATGCGGGCCACCGGTGGTACACGCCGTCCGATGAGACAGTCAAGCGCGGGCCACCGGTGGTACACGCCGGCTTGAACGTAATTAATTATATATAATATAATATATATTATGTGTTTCATTTTGTATGTATGTTTCATTTAATTTGATTATTTATCAAATATTTTTAGAACATCCTGTATAATAAGTATGTATGAATATATATGTATGTATATCTTGAAAGTATTCGCCTGTAGCTCGATACTAAATCGTGTTCCAACCAAGCCGAGTTTACGTTCATTGAGTAATATACATACATAGATAAATATATATATATATATACATGGATAAGTGCATACACGAAAGATCCGATTATGTTTGTATGGAATATCCGCGTGTCCCATATACATGGATGATTGGACGGACCTAGCTAGTAGTAACATAACTATGAAGTTGACGATATATATGTAACGAGCAACTCACCAAAGTGTATTATACAGATACAGACAAATACACACATAATAAGACATATATACATATATATGTATGTATATTTTCTATGCATTTAAATTATTCTAGAATATTATTGATCATAGGACAAAATTAATTTATCAAAATATTAATATATGATATGATTCAAAAGTAAAATGAAAAAAAAAAAAATGTTAGACAAATGTTTCAATGCGTCAAAATTATTTTTACTATTTTTTTTTTTTTTTGTTAATTTCTATTATAGTAATGTAAAGATTTTTCCTATTACGTGTTACATTTACCAAAATAAGAAGAAAATTATGGAGAATACAAATATTCCAAACCTAGATTCACCTAGATCACCTGATATGACAGAAATAAAAAAGAAAAGAAAAAAAAAGAGGAGAGAGAAAGAGAGAGAGAGAGAGAGAGACTATTATAGAAACTTTTCCATTATAGATATCCTTGAATCCTTCGTCCTTGGACGAGAAAGCAAGTCTCCGAGGCACCGATCTTGCAAAACTATGTCGTATCTCATTCTCAAAAGGAGAAGATAAAAAAAAAATAAAATAAAATAAAGAAACTAGAAATGATCTAAAGGACATATCAAGTAGAACTAATTTCTTTAGTTTTTACTCTTTTAAAAAAAAAAAAAAAACAGAAAAGATACAAAAGATACTAAAATTCTGAAGAATCCTTGTAGATCTCATAAATGTGAAATACAATATTCCAAGCTTCAGGAAGTAGAATATTCTTTGGGGAGGGTGTTTTTTTTACAACAAAAAGTAAAATGATAAAACACAGGGTTGTGTCAAGGTTGCGTCAGGGTTTGCATTAGGGTTGCGTCAAGGTTGTGTTAATTAATGTTGATATAATTACCCTAAATACTTTATTTTCAAAATACTTCATTGATTTTTCAAATATACGTCAAATGTTGTTGGAAGAATAAAGTTAAATTATAAAATACAGGGTTGCGTCAAGGTTTGGTCAGGGTTGTGTGTGTGTTGTGTTAATTAATGTGAATATAATTACCCTAAATACTTTATTTAAAATATACTTCATTGATTTTTCAAATATACGTCAAATGTTGTTGGAAGAATAAAGTTAAATTATAAAATACAGGGTTGCGTTAGGGTTTGGTCAGGGTTTGGTCAGTGTTTGATCAGGGTTTGGTTAGTGTTTGGTCAGGTTTGCGTCAGGGTTTGCATCAGGATAAAAGTTAAATGTTAAATTATCTTTAATAATATCAAAAGATTAACTTAATTTCTTCAAAACATCAGCACTAACACTCTCTACCAATAGGAGTGTTCACTGAGACTATAATTTATTCAAAATCATTCAAGATTACGAACCATAACTTGAAATAATTCTTAACCCGACGTAAACATTTCATTAGTCTCACTAAATCCAAAATTTCATGGAATTCATTCTCTAAATCGAATTGATTTTAATCCAACCTGCTATTGGATTGTGGTTACGTCAGGGTTGTATCAAAAGTAGTTCATTCATTTATTGTCTTTTTAATATCATGTTTGCGAACTAAACAATATATTTAATTAATCATGACTGAACGAACACATGAAATTTCCATTATCGATTTATCAATAATCCAATAGCAATTTCAAAAACTATGAACCCACCAAAATCTAATCTAATTAAAACCCCACAAACCTAGTATAATAATTATAAATAATAAATACATTTAAATCTATCTAAATGTAATCACATATATATATATGTTTAAGGTATACAAGTAAGTGTGTGTACAAAAAGAAGAAACGAGGAAACAGTATATGTGAATGATACATTTAAATGTATGTAAGTAAGTGTGTTATATACCATCTCACACATATATGTTTAATATATTTTAATGTGTTCAAGTAAGTGTGTTATATATCATCTCACACATATATGTTTAATATGTTTTAATGTGTTGAAGTAAGTGTGTTATATATCACCTCACAGAAACACATATGAATGATTGAATACATGTACGTATGTTTATGTGAGATATAGGAGGATGAGAGGATGAAGGGTGGAGAAGAGGAAAAGAGAAGAAGAGGTGGGCCAAGATCTTGGAAGTGCAGCAGCAGCAGCAGCAACAGCAGCAGCATGCAGCAGCAACAGCATGCAGCATGCAACAGCAGCAGCAACGTTCGTGCCAGGCTGTGCAGCCTGGTACCACTCAAGAGAAACAGTGTTGGGAGGGAATGTGCATCGAGAGAGGACGGGTGCAATGCAGGAGTATACACCGAATGCACACACTTGCTTCTAACATTAAGCATTCAACTAAATGTTCCTTTTTACTACTACTACTAGTACTACTATTACTATTA